CAAAAAAAATCATAAAATCTCTTTTTTTTCCATATACAATTATTCCTTCTACTTATTTCTTTGTTATGCCACCAGATCGGCAGCCTAAACAACGCCGTTCAGCTATTAGTGATGACATTAAGCGTCAAATATGCGAATGGGCGGAAGCAAATAAAAACAAAAAACACCATGAAATTGCTCAACATTTTAACGAAAAAAACCTTAATATGAAGATTGACCGAAGTACTGTGTCTAAAATTTTGAAAGAAAAAGACAAGTGGAAGGCCGTAGTTAGTGCTGAAGTTTCGACTAAAACATTAGGTACGCAGTTTTAATTTAAAGACGCTTTGAAACTTCATCACATCTTATGAATTTTCTAAAACCTAGGCGCAGAGAGGTTAAATTTCCATTATTAGATCATGCTATGAGTATATGGGTAGAAAATGTAACAGCGGGAGGCGTTGCCTTAACTGATTTGTTAATTAAGGAAAAAGCTAAGGTTTTTTAACATACAGGAAAGTGAATTGACGGTTTCTAATGGCTGGCTTGGGAAATTTAAAAAACGCAACAATATTCAAAGATATCGTGCACACGGAGAAGCAGGAAGTGCCCCATTAGAATCTCTTACAGAAGAACGAACGAAATTGCGTAGACTTTTGGGCCGGTTTACCCTTGATCGAATTTATAATATCGACGAAACAGGTCTTTTTTACCGAATGCCACCGAATCAAACACTTTCAAGCAAACCCGTTCTTGGCCAGAAGAAAGATAAAACTAGAATAACGGTTCTTCTTGGTGTCAATGCGACAGGAACCGATAAACTTATGCCATGGGTAATCGGCAATGCAAAACGTCCGAGACCTTTTTCACGAATTAATTTACAACGGCTTCCCGTTCATTATCGTGCAAATCCCAAAGCATGGATGAATTCGTCAATCTTTGAAGAAATACTTCGGCATTTGGACAACCATTTTAGAGTGCAAAATAAAAAAATCCTACTCTTGGTTGACAATGCGTCATCGCACATCAATTCTCAACAAGGTAATAGTGATGTTACTGAGCTTAATCTAACTCATGTTGAGGTGGCTTTTCTACCTCCTAATACCA